TCATTTGTGTGTTCAAAATGATGAATAAAAAAGCTTTTTACACACATCTAGAATAATGAAAAAAGATTTTCTTCAGATCACTAATAAAAATTTGTTTTTTTGTTGTTTTTACATGCTTTCAAACAAAAGTAGAAGAAATAAAATAGAAAAATAAATGATTGAATAGAACAAAAGAAGACACAAAAAAATCAAATTTAAACTGCATACAATATAATATTGCATGAACCAACTAAACAAAAAAATAAATAAATATTAGAATTTGAAAATGTTTAATACAGAGCAACGAGCAATGATTGAACAGGACGGAAAATAACAGTTGTCAGTAATAAAAAAAACTAGTTTTACAATAATAAAGTCGAATTAAATTTCCTAATATTGATATATACGATCGGAGGAGAGAAAATGGATATGAGGTAGAATGCCGTAAAAAAGACGGTATGAAGTTCTCTATTGCGCTGTAGAAAGGAAAAATACTAGATTTGCTGAATGTTTGAAAATATGATAGAATAGATAAGTACGATGAGCTCAAATAGTGTGTAGTTTGTTCTTCACAGTTTTTTGGAGTTAGAGTGTAAATATTTCTAAATAATAGAAACTGGATGTTCGGACGAGAGACTAAGACATTAATATTACATAACCTCATATTGTTGTCTAATACGTTTTGCAAATAAAGAGCCTGCTACCCCACCCGCAATGCAAGCTACCATGATAAAAAAACTCAGAGCAATAAACACGACATATTGTATGGAATATATATGCGATAGAGTTTCACCACATCCACGTATATATGTTCGATTTAGTAATACCAGTTGATTATAGCCACAGTTGGGTGACATTTCAATGCAGCACGAATCAGGTACTGATGTTACATTTGGACCGACATATGCCCAGTCGTGCGGATTAATAACACCACAACATTTATACCTTTGTTGCAGTTGAGCATATATTTGTCGTTCGTTAGTATAATTCAAATTATAAAAATTATGCATCAAGTAATTTGTAATGTTGTACGTTTCTTCACGAATGTGAGCACCTCCCCGAACAGCTAAAACACCAGAGACGAATGCAAATATGCCAATGATAATTAAACCAATAGAGATGATTGTTGTTAAAGCTGGAAATTGTTTCATTGTAATATAGAATAGTCCTATTGAAAACATGAAGGCAAATGCCCCCACAACAGCTGCATAGATTGGTAGACTAAATAGTTCACTCCAGTAGGAACGAAATGGTGCATTTTCACTGGCTATTATTGCACCAGCAATAATAATTCCGATACTACCTACTAATACTAACACTGCGCACACAACACATCCAGTTCGTGCATTGTTCATTATTCAATTAAATTTCTGGGTGTCATACAACCCTAGAAAATGAAATATCTGTATTAACTGCACTTGCTGCAGATAAATAAATTCTGTATTTCAAATTATAAATGGTCTGCAATATTTATGATTCATATGGTAACCATTACAACTATTGCTTACTATCAGCTATATTCCTAACTGCTCACTTGAAGGGAAAATATCTCATATATATTCACAATATTCTTCTATTTTCGTCTATCGTCGATCAAGCGTAATTTTTTTGTTTTCTCTCTTTTTGTTCTGTTTAATGAAACATATTGATACATTCAACCATACTGTCAAGCTGAAGGAAAAAATACATGATATATACGCGTAATATTGAAGATAAATGACCACGTATGTTAAACAAAGAAAAGCACATGAATTGACTATGTGTTGTTATGTGTGGTAAGAAAGCATTTAAATGAAATAATACGAAATAACAAGTACATGGTGTAATACAGAGCTGGGCAACTCCAACTCCGGAGTTGAGGATTTTTTTGCTGGAGTTGGAGTTGGGTTTTTGAATTTTTATTCTCAACTCCGTTTTGCATGTTTGGAAATATTCAATGGTTGTAGAACAGATCTTCTAAACGATTGAGGGACTGTATT